ATGAGTTACAGTCTAAAGAGAGTTAATGCTGAATTTTGACAGAAAATAAGAGGAACAATAGACTGAGTCTGGAGTCTCATGTTATCTTCTACAAGCTCCAAGTCCTGCACACTAACAAAGGGGAAGTAAACCCTATTAAGTGGCTAGTAAGAATTATGATATATAATTGTAGGTACCCGAGGGCACTCCAGAGACTGATCATAAACCAACTGTAATTCTTAATTTCCTGACCTCTTACAGCCTTTTTTTGTGGATTATTGCATTGCTGGCTTGAGTCTTTTGTGACTCTTTAAAGGCTCCTGTAAGGAATGAGAATTTGTGACTCATTTTTCAGGACACTCTTTTTACAAATTGGATGGCTTTTTGCCCTTTTTTGCAGAAATTAAAGGGGATGTCAAGTGTCAAGGATTGGATTGTATTGTTCATACAGTTTGTGTTTACATATAAACAGATGATCCTGTCTCTCCATTGCTGGGAGGTCAAATATAATATGTTATTGTAACAGCCAGCCTGAAGCAAGATAGCCAAAACCAGGACTGAGAGGAAGAAAGTCATTCAAACTGAAGTAGTATCAGTACTTTGATTTAGAAGCATCCGAAGATGGTGTGTGAGGTCTCAAACTTTCAGATTTAGAGTTTTACTGAACTGCTAAGATCATTCGTCGTGCTAGAATTATGGAGATCTGCTCACATGTTTTTGTTAACCTCTAGAATAGTTGCTTAATAGCGTCTCTTTCTAGCTATGCTATTAAATATTAATAACTAGATCATTAGATGTCTCAGAAAACAGGCACTTTTGTGGTCCTAAAAGCAGATAATACGCTTTAAAGTTTATTTAAACATTTGTTGTGGAGCACCCTTCATCCATTTTTCCTTTCATTTCGTTTCCATGCATTCCAAAAGTGTGTAAACTTCAAGAACTGGATTTTAAAATGCCTAATTTTGCAGAGTTGTCAGGGGATTCAGACATCTGCAGTATTTAGGGAAAAGGTAGCCTTAATGTGGTAAGCAAAGAATACAGTTATTTTTATACTAAAGTCTGCACTCCACTGCCTTTTGTCTGCCTGTTCCTGCTGCTTCCATTTCATGGCAGTTGATTGTATTTCTTCAAGCAAGTGGCAGGTTGTCACATTGAACAAAATCAAGGCGTGTCTTAGTCATCCCATATTTGTAGGGTTGGTTTGTATGCCTACACTATTGTTGCTTGAGCTTGTTTGTACTTTGCAAATACATGAAAAAGGATGCATTGCATCAAAGAATAAAACGTTGGTGCTTATACCTGTTTGGATGTGTTCCAGTAGAGTTTGGTCAGTCAACTTCTAGAAAATACAGTCTTTTATGACTTAGTTCAAATTTCTGTTAGCTCAGTTCGGATTTAAGTTTATTGAAACCTTACTTGGAATTAGGCATATGGAACATCTTGATTTTTCTCTCCCAGGCTATGAACAAGTTGAGAGCTTATGGGTTAGAATTAAGGGACAGGCTCATAAGGGTGATGTTATGGTGGGTGTGTACTACAGGCCACCTGACCAGGAAGAGGAAGTTGATGAGGGCTTCTGCAGGCAGCTGCAAGCAGCCTCACAGTCACAGGCCCTGGTTCTCATGGGTGACTTCAACCACCCTGACATCAGCTGGGAAGACCATACAGCTAGGCAGGCGCAATCCAGGAGGTTCCTACAGAGCATCGATGATAACTTTCTGATGCAAGTGGTAGAGGAACCAACAAGGAAAGGCGCCCTGCTGGACCTTGTATTAACAAAGAAGGAGGGACTGGTTGAGGATGTGAAGGCTGGAGGTAGACTTGGCTGCAGTGACCATGAAATGGTGGAGTTCAAGATCCTGCGTGGAGGAAGCAGGACAACAAGTAGGATCAAAACCTTGGACCTCAGGAGGGCTAACTTTGGCCTCTTCAAGGAGCTACTGGGAGGAATCCCGTGGGCCAGGGCTCTCGAAGGCAGG